GGGGGGGACGTGGCCGCGCCCAGCCCCTTTGGTAAAATTTAACCACCCACCCCTCACAAAATTTATTTTATAAGCCTGCTCCTACTTAGCTCTATGCAGCCCTACAGATAAAAAATCCTGGCTACGCCTTTGATCATCGACCATTAATAGACGATGGTAACCGTTTATTAAAAACCGTAAAACTTTATTCTTAACAAATTGAGACACCAAAATAGGGGAATCTCATAAGCACGCCATATAGGTACCAAAATCCAGAATTCTCATCAAAATCTTTCTCTTCAGCAAAAATCAGATTCCTCATGAGAATAGCCATGCAAAAGTAACAGTATTTTTGTACATATTTGAACGAGCTCATGAGAATTCAGGATTTTGGTACATATATGGCGTGCTTATGAGACACAAAATACGGGATTCTCATAAGCACGCCATATATGAACCAAAATCCAGAATTCCGATGAAAATTTCCCCCTTTGCAAAATTCAGAATCTTCATGAGAACAGTCATGCAAAAGTAACATTATTTTTGTACAAATTAGAATGTGCTCATGAGAATTCTAGATTTTGGTACATATATGGCGTGCTTATGAAACACCAAAATAGGGGATCAGTCTCATAAGCACGCCATATAGGTACCAAAAGCCAGAATTCTCATGAAAATTTTCCCTTTTGCAAAATTCAGAATCGTCATGAGAATAGGCGTGCAAAAGTAACATTATATTTCTTCATATTTGAACGTGCTCATGAGAATTCTAGATTTTGGTACATATATGGCGTGCTTATGAGACACCAAAATAGGGGATTCTCATAAGCACGCCATATAGGTACCAAAAGCCAGAATTCTCATGAAAATTTTCCCTTTTGCAAAATTCAGAATCTTCATGAGAATAGTCATGCAAAAGTAATATTATTTTTGCACATATTTGAACGTGCTTATGAGAATTCTAAATTTTGGTACATACATGGCGTGCTTATGAGACACAAAATACGGGATTCTCATAAGCACGCCATATGGGTACCAAAAGCCTGAATTCTCATGAAAAGCTTTCTCTTTAGCAAAATTCAGAATCGTCATATAAATAGTCGTGCCAAAGTAACATTATTTTTGTACATGTTTGAACGTGCTCATGAGAATTCTAGATTTTGGTACACATATGGCGTGCTTATGAGACACAAAATACGGGATTCTCATAAGCACGCCATATATGAACCAAAATCCAGAATTCTCATGAAAATTTTCCCTCTTGCAAAATTCAGAATCTTCATGAGAATAGTCATGCGAAAGTAACATTATTTTTGTGCAAATTTGAAGGTGCTCATGAGAATTCTAGATTTTGGTACATACATGGCGTGCTTATGAGACACAAAATACGGGATTCTCATAAGCACGCCATATGTGTACCAAAAGCCGGAATTCTCATGAAAGGCTTTCTCTTTCGCAAAATTCAGAATCGTCATATGAATAGTCGTGCCAAAGTAACATTATTTTTGTACATGTTTGAACGTGCTCATGAGAATTCTAGATTTTGGTACATATATGGCGTGCTTATGAGACACCAAAATAGGGGATCAGTCTCATAAGCACGCCATATAGGTACCGAAAGCCAGAATTCTCACGAAAATTTTCCCTTTTGCAAAATTCAGAATCTTCATGAGAATAGGGATGCAAAAGTAATATTATTTTTGTACATATTTGAACGTGCTTATGAGAATTCTAAATTTTGGTACATACATGGCGTGCTTATGAGACACAAAATAGGGATTCTCATAAGCACGCCATATGGGTACCAAAAGCCGGAATTTTCTTGAAAAACTTTCTCTTTAGCAAAATTCAGAATCGTCATATGAATAGTCGTGCCAAAGTAACATTATTTTTGTACATGTTTGAACGTGCTCATGAGAATTCTAGATTTTGGTACACATATGGCGTGCTTATGAGACACAAAATACGGGATTCTCATAAGCACGCCATATATGAACCAAAATCCAGAATTCTCATGAAAATTTTCCCTTTTGCAAAATTCAGAATCTTCATGAGAATAGTCATGCAAAAGTAACATTAATTTTGTACAAATTTGAAGGTGCTCATGAGAATTCTAGCTTTTGGTACATACATGGCGTGCTTATGAGACACAAAATACGGGATTTTCATAAGCACGCCATATGGGTACCAAAAGCCGGAATTCTCATGAAAAGCTTTCTCTTTAGCAAAATTCAGAATCGTCATATGAATAGTCGTGCCAAAGTAACATTATTTTTGTACATGTTTGAACGTGCTCATGAGAATTCTAGATTTTGGTACACATATGGCGTGCTTATGAGACACAAAATACGGGATTCTCATAAGCACGCCATATATGAACCAAAATCCAGAATTCTCATGAAAATTTTCCCTTTTGCAAAATTCAGAATCTTCATGAGAATAGTCATGCAAAAGTAACATTAATTTTGTACAAATTTGAAGGTGCTCATGAGAATTCTAGATTTTGGTACATACATGGCGTGCTTATGAGACACAAAATACGGGATTCTCATAAGCACGCCATATGGGTACCAAAAGCCGGAATTCTCATGAAAAGCTTTCTCTTTAGCAAAATTCAGAATCGTCATATGAATAGTCGTGCCAAAGTAACATTATTTTTGTACATGTTTGAACGTGCTCATGAGAATTCTAGATTTTGGTACACATATGGCGTGCTTATGAGACACAAAATACGGGATTCTCATAAGCACGCCATATATGAAGCAAAATCCAGAATTCTCGTTAAATTTTCCCTTCTTGCAAAATTCAGAATCTTCATGAGAATAGTCATGCAAAGGTAACATTATTTTTGTACAAATTTGAAGGTGCTCATGAGAATTCTAGATTTTGGTACATATATGGCGTGCTTATGAGACACCAAAATAGGGGATCAGTCTCATAAGCACGCCATATAGGTACGAAAAGCCAGAATTCTCATGAAAATTTTCCCTTTTGCAAAATTCAGAAGCGTCATGAGAATAGGCGTTCAAAAGTAACATTATATTTCTTCATATTTGAACGTGCTCATGAGAATTTTAGATTTTGGTACATATATGGCGTGCTTATGAGACACCAAAAAATGGGATTCTCATAAGCACGCCATATGTGAACCAAAATCCAGAATTCTCATTAAAATTTTCCCTTTTGCAAAATTCAGAATCTTCATGAGAATAGTCATGCAAAAGTAACATTATTTTTGTACAAATTTGAATGTGCTCATGAGAATTCTAGATTTTGGTAGATACATGGCGTGCTTATGAGACACCAAAATATGGGATTCTCATAGGCACCCCATATAGGTACCAAAAGCCAGAATTCTCATGATAATCTTTCTCTTTAGCAAATTCAGAATCCTCATGAGAACAGTCATGCAAAAGTAGCATTATTTTTGTACATATTTGAACGTGCTGATGAGAATTCTAGATTTTGGTACATATATGGCGTGCTTATATGAGACACCAAAATAGGGGATTCTCATAAGCACGCCATATATGTACCAAAATCCGGAATTATCATGAAAATCTTTCTCCTTAGCAAAATTCAGAATCCTCATGAGAATAGTCATGCGAAAGTAACATTATTTTTGTACGTATTTGAACGTGCTCATGAGAATTCTAGATTTTGGTACACATATGGCGTGCTTATGAGACACAAAATACGGGATTCTCATAAGCTCGTCATATATGAACCAAAATCCAGAATTATCATGAAAATTTTCCCTTTTGCAAAATTCAGAATCTTCATGAGAATAGTCATGCAAAAGTAACATTATTTTTGTACGTATTTGAACGTGCTCATGAGCCTGAATTCTAGATTTTTGGTACATATATGGCCTGCTTATGAGACACCAGAATAGGGTATTCTCATAACTACATAAGCACGCAAGTATATGAACCAAAATCCAGAATTCTCATGAAAACCTTTCTATGTTGCAAAATTCAAAATTCTCATGAGGATTCTAGGTTTTGGTACATACTGTATGGCGTGCTTATCATTATCGGGGATTGTCATAAGCACGCAAGTATATGGACTATATGAACCAAAATCCAGTATTCTAATGAAAACTTTTCTACAGGGTGTATAAAAAAAAACTGAACGGATATGAATTATTTTGCTCTCAATTTCGCAAAACAGCTATTAGTATCTAGTTGTTTTTTTATGTATATAGCTTCTTTGGGTACTTATAATGTATAATAATGAAAAAAATTTCTGGAACTCAAATTTTGTTAACCAGGGGGTGTGTCTTTTCCAAGAGACTAAAAATGTCTTACGCACGAAATTTAAAAGCTTTAATCACATTCTGAGTTAGGTGCACAACGTGTTAGGTTTTTAATTACTGTACAAAATTTCAAACAATTTGGTTTAGTTTAAGCGCCTTAACTATTCACGCAAAATTACATTTTTTCCTAAAACTCAGCTATTTGCACGACTAATTTGCATATGTCAGCAATATGCAAATTAGGTAAAGGCATTAATTGAGCATGCGAAAGGCTGATTTTTTAGGCTTAAAC